AAAAAAAAAAAAAAAAAAAAAAAAAAAAAAAAAAAAAAAAAAAAAAAAAAAAAAAAAAGAAAACAGCTTCCACGCGTATAATATACAAGTAGGTCTCCGTCAAAGAGACAACGGGTGGCTGCGCTGTGATGTATCAAGAGGAGTTTCTAGTTGACAACTGGCTGCTTTTATTCCCGAGCTACTACTGTACGCGCTTGGTGCCGCGATGGCTCTAATGCCCCGTACTTATCGCTCGAAAAATTGGCTCTCCTTCTCTCCGGACATCGAGTGTATTGCGCGTACACGCGCGCCTTGTCTAGTATTTTTTTCTTTTATTTTTATTTTTTTTTTTCGTGACGTATACGCTGCCCGCGCGTACGCACGTGACGCACGAATGGGATGTACGATACGTGTGTGTTAATACGATTCTCAGATGAGCTTAAATTGAAGTTAGTGCCTCTCTCGTGAATAAAAAAAAAAAAAAAAAAAAACAATTGATTTCACTTGTAAAAGGGAAACTAGTACCGATATTGTATTCTTAGGGTAGAAAAAGCTATCAAAAGTAAATCCCCAATTTGCAAAAGTCGGACGCGTGAGCCGTGAAAATAAAAGCCTCGGGGTCTCAAGCGCGACGACTCGACTTTTTTCTCAGGTACATACACTCATTGTACTGTTGATTGTGCTGTAAGTACATGTGTTATATGTATGGACGTAAGTAACGCGCAAGCGTGTGCTTTATAGCGATGCTTCTATTTCGAGCTTTGCGAGCGCGTGTATTGGGTATTACGTCAAATCTCTTGTATCGAAAGCCCTCGGTGAAGGTCAAGACACGCGCGGGAACGGTATATACACATGATGCAGAGGAAACGTAGGAGGGGCACGGGTTGGGCAACCGTATATTATATGTACACCGAGTGAATGGGACGATAAGAAAAACAGGTGGGGTTTTTTTTTTTTTTTTTTTTCCTTTCAAGTCGACATAAACAATGGGACCAAAGAGTGAGATGTTGTTGCTGTTGCTCTTTCGAAAAACCTTTTCATCGGCACTGCCGGAAAATGATAAACATGTAGGGCTAAGAGAGTGGTGCGTCGCTTTGCGCAAATATCCGATTCCGTTCGGGCAATTGGATGTCGCGAGCAAAAGCCAATTAGCTCGTGAATCCAGTTACGCGAGAGAGATTAGGTGTATACAGTCGGGGCCGATCGAGGATGGGTGGAGGAGAAAGAAAAAAAAAAAAAAAAAAAAAGGAAAAACATTTCCAGTAAACATCGCCGCCTCTCGCGACGTCATCGCTGCTTTTCACCCCCTCGCGATCATTAGAAAGCAGCTCACCTGGTAACGATTTTGAGCGCCTGCCAGGCTGCTAAGAATACGCGAATGTCAAGCTCGACGTCCGAATTTTTATCTCTTCCCCTCTGTGTGTACACCAGCAACAAAATACATCGGGGTAGCGTGTGTTTTTCCGTGTTTTTATTTTTTTTTTTCAATTGTTGGAAGAAAGAGGCGGCGAAAAGAAGAAAAAAAGGAACAAATTGTAATTCGACGCGAGTGTCACTGAAGCGAGGGGTAAACATGCAAACCCCAAGTTGAAAAACAAAAAGCTTCCCCCGCGAGCGCGAGTCAAAATAAACACACCAGCTAGATTTTAAAACTGAATGGGCGTACATTTCTTGTTTGGCCCCGAAAATAAAGCGCGACCTTCAAAACTTGCTCTAGGTCGAGCGCGCGAGCATTCCCGTGTATGTAAGATTTAATTGTCGTCGTCTTCGATGGTCGAGGCTTGTTTCTTTATTTTTCGTCTTTAAGACTCTAAAATTTGTAATAATAGTATCTGGTCGGGATTTGAACTTTTTTTCCCTTTTTTTTCTTTGTCTTTCGTTTCCAATCACGAGAACAAGAGAAAAATGGTAACGAGGAGGAGGGGAAAAAAAAGCCAACAACTGCGGGGCGATAGAGCGACTGTCGGAGGCTATCCCACGAGAGCTGTGGTGTACAATTGCATTTGACATACAAATGTAATGTATACGCGTACAGGCGGTAACGAGATAAAAGACGCGGGAGCTTTTATTGCTACAACATGTATTAGAGAAATTGGAGTATAAATACTTGAAAGCTTTTTTTCATTTAAATATTACCAATATGTTTTTGTTTTTTTTTCATTTCACGATGAACTTGTAAAATATTGTTGCTTATGCATCTGCTTCTGGTTTTTAAATACCACCATCGATTATTTTACGCTGCACACTGCATACGCGCAAATCATACATACACGTGTAATGTACGTACTTAGTAGTTCCATGTACTATACGCAAAGATAGCATTTCGTTTGATTTACGTGAAAATTCTACCAGACAAAGTCCACGACGCGTAAATCAATTTGTTCGAAATTAAAGTTTGACGTAAGCTGTAGTACACATATACATCTTATCTCCACGAATTTATAAATAAAAGTGACAAAAGACTGATGTAATACAAAATGACGTTGTATAGTTGGCGCTCGAGAAAATTTGTATACGAGCGCGCCCGTCGAAGCGAATGATGTACGTGGTGGGGGAAAAAAATAAGATACAAGTAGTATCGCTGTCAAAGAAAAAAAAAAAAAAAAAAAAAAAAAAAAAATTAGGTATGAGTCATTGATCTTTTTTCTTGTTTTCAAAACAACGCACGAAATAATTATCATTGATGCCCGTCAGTGACTTATTACACATACGTGCACGCTTCTGGGAGCTCTAGGTAAACAAAAATATTATTCGACATTGAAAAAAGAAATAGTCAATGGAATCTAATCTTTCGACTTTCGGGTGTGTGTGAGTGATAACAAAAATTTTTTTTTTTTTTTCATGCGACATCTGCACTGACGGAATTCAATCGACGCTTTGTCACAGATTTTGATAAAATGTCACACCTGTCTCGTACCTATACTTATATACTCGAAAATGTTTTAAAAAATCTCGGATCGGTCGTGTTGATTCTATCATTTATTTAAGTCACACAAAAGTCTCGGTAAACTGACGCGGGAAAATCAAGTACAATAGGCCGTAAAGTCGATTTATTGTTGGTGATGACTAAGAGCGCATAAAGATATACGTAGGTATACTTGCAATCCACAAATATTTCCTGCACCGCTTGGATGGAAAACTAAACCGTAGAAAAAAAGAAAGAAAAAAAAAACAAATCGATCCTCACCAAATTCACTCAGCCATCCCCCGCTATGTGTTCACTCTCAAACGACAATTTCACCACTTTTCACCCTCCACTTGAACACTGAGAAAAAAAAAAACTCGCTTTCGGTCCAGCCGAACAAGTGGTCCAAAAAAAAAAAAAAAAAAAAAAAAAAAAAAAAAAAAAAAAAAAA